CTCAATCAAATTTGAAATAAAGGGTATTGTCTAATATTTATAAGAAATATATAAACTGAAGAAATATATATTATTTATTTCAAGTGAGCATATGAACTTTAGGTAGAATTCAAAATAAAATCCACGTAGAAAGTTTTTTGAATCATTCAAATCGGCTGCTTAGTTCTCTCAAAAACAGATATTTTTTGCACATTTTGCTTGGTATCTCTGCCTTTGCCAAAAACTAATCACCACTTCTCCTCATCATTACAAATTGAAGTTTTTTGCATCAATCAAACCGAATGTTTCATTCTCTCAAAAACTCGATTTCTATTTTCTGTACCATCAAATCGGTTGATCGGGGCGCCCGAAAACGTGAACGAAAAAATGCGGACACACAAAACACACACACTTCCATTTTTTCTGAGGTATGCCAAAATGTTCAGAAACCTTCAAAACGTGAAGAAATGTAAAAAATTTCATTTTTGATTGTCGGTCCATTAATTAACTTACCCTACGAGAGTTAATAAATATAAAATGAATAAGTTGCTTTTTACAACTATGTATAAATAAACTAAAAATGCCACGGGCCCCCGACCTAAGGGGGCCCCGACCCAGGAAATCGAGATTCGGAAATACCTTATAACATTGTACATAAATTTTATTTCATTTGAAACTTATATTTTTATTTTTTAAGTTTAAAGTCGGAGTTAATTATTCAACCAAACTTGCATCGAACTTACATTCGGCCGAATATTTAGTTAGTTAAAACCAAAGGAGTCGCCGCCTCACAGCGAAAGTATTTTAAGTGTTTTATCTTTTATGCGATAACGAGCTGCGATGGACCTGCATCGGAAAATCTTTAGTTTATATAATATATCAAGAATGAATTAATGAATTTATTATTGTATATATAATAATTTATACTTTATCGAATTTTAAGATAAAAAACGAACACGTGAAGAACTCTTTTCACAGCATCGACAGCAGGCCTTCGCGGGGCCTCGTATCAAAATTTGTTTCGGGGCCCCCTTAAGAGAAAATTTTTTATCACAAAATATAAAAATACATAAAATTAGAAGAATAGTTATTTATCATTCTAATTATTTTTCTATCTAATTTTCTATAATTTTCCGAGCTTTTCATAAATGATCCAGATAAAAATATTCTCCCCTTATTCGAAAAACTGAATTATTAAGTGATCTTTAGATTCTAAAGTTTCTGTCCCTAGGAACAATAGTGACAGGTCTGATAGACATTTATGTCCTAAAGTGTTTACGTATTTTTTCTTAGTTTTAATTTTGAATTTCGCCGTATTAGTGAAGCACATACAAAGTTTTAAAATCTTTTCAAAATATTTTGCAGCAGAAATAAATTCTTTTAAAGCATTAGCTTACAAGTTAAAGTTCAATACCGCTCGATAACTACGTCCAAGTCATTTATTTTTTGTATAAATCGTTAGTTTGCTTTAGATATTTCTTACGCTCGATGGGCCTCCCTGGCCCGTGGCCCTGTTTCAAGCCATTCTGAATCGAATGAGACCAAATTTGTAAAAAGTATATATGTGTTTGTGGGTGCGTGTGTGTGAACAGATTTTTTGAGAAATTTTTGCAGAAAAATTAAAAAATTTCCGTTCAAGTTTTAGTCCGCAAATGTTCGAAAGATATTGGTTGGGAATCGTGCTGATTAGTTTTTGGTAAAGATCGGCCGGGCCGTTTACTTGTAATAAAGTTTAAAAAGAAAAATTACGACGATTTTTAAGATTTTTTTTTGACGGTCATATTCATAGTTTTGTGGATCATACTAAAAATATTACGGACCTACGACAAGTCGTTTAATTTTAAAAATTCTTCAAAGTTTGCAAAAATTAGTATCGTTCTTTTGGCATTTGTCAAAATTAGACTTTTGATCGACGTTTTCTCAAAAATGCCTGAATCGTTTTCAGAAATGTATAAGCTTTTAGAGAAAACGTGTTCGTTCGTTTTCAATTATGTATAATAAATCCACTTGGAATACTTTTAATTACTCATAAATTAATTTATATTTTATTGATTAAGTCGATTAATTATATATATCGTGACGTTCATGTAACTTGCCGCAAGGCAAAATACCAATACCAACTAGTTAAATCATAAATTGTCATGAAGATCGAACGTCACTACTTAATCAATAAAATAAAGAAAATCAATAAAACAAGAAATTGTTAATGGAAGATTATGTAATAATTAAATTTAAGATTTAAAATTTTGTTTATTAAAAAAATACGTTTTTTAGTTTCCATTTATTCTAACGTTGAATATATTCACTAATATTTCATGTTTGATTTTCAATAAAAATTAAGTTTTGTGTATTTTTTGTTATTTTTATATTATTACAACTAAATTATAATTATACCTCTAAATCAATACTTGACTTTTCTGCCTTTTGTATAATTTTATAATTTAAAGCCATAAAATATAAATTAATCGAAGTTGGTTTGCTAATTGTGATAAAATTCATTAAAAATTGTTTTAGCCAGTAGAAAAACAGCGTGTAAATGACTATTCGCGTTTATTAAACAAAATTAGATAAATTAAAAATTGAGTACCACGATAGGGCCCCATCGAAAGACTTTGCCACGGGCCCCGGAGGGTCTAGTTACGCCACTGTATATATATATATATATATATATATATATATATATAAGTGTTATTATTATATATAAGTGTTATTAAGCCCGCGGACTCGTGAGTTTTCCCTCGTTCTGGACAGCCTGACATTGTGCAATAACAATGTCCATTTTCACTTGAAAATATGGATAAACTATAGTGGTACATGGCTTCGTACCTTAAGGTAAATTGCTGGAACTTCACGTATCAAAAATTTTAAAGTTTTGAACTTTTTACAATCGCGATACGTTAGCTATGTAGAAGCGAAATATCGTAGCGCGTGGTCGTCGTGACGCAGTATAACCGATAAGCATATTATTAAAATATTTATAAAACATGTGAAAATTTGATGTGCAAATATCTAATGATCATTTTTGCCCGCCAAATGGTGTTTTTTAACTTTTTTTTGATATCTGAAACCGCTATACTTACCAAAAATTTTATCTCGTCAATAAAAATAAAATGTTTATTGAATCATTCAAATCGGACGCTCTGTTCTCTCAAAAATTGAAGTACCATTTTTAGCTTTTCTTGCTCCGTATCTTCGGAATGGCTCAACGCGTCTTTGCCAAAAACTAATCAGCACGTCTCCTTATCAATAGGAATCGAATGTTTTTCGAATTATTTAAATTGGTTGATCCGTGTTCTCGAAATCTTCGAAAAAAAATTGTATCCGCACATACATAGCACACTCACATACTCTATCTCTCTCTCTCACATACACACATACATCAATTTTTTCTAAGGTAAGTATCCTCTTTTTATTTGCAGAAGGACGTAACGTGTTCGATTGCGATGGTACTTCTTGCGGAACTGACCTATGCGATAACGACGGACAATGCCTAATTAATGATAAAACTGGTCCGTATTGCAAATGCCCGTTACGTCATTCCGGGCAGCGTTGCGAGCTGAAAATGGGATGTGGCCCATTACGACCTTGTGCGAAAGGGGGTCGATGCATTAGATCTGAACTAGGAGAAGGGAAGTGTGTCTGCCCACCAGGTGTAACAGGAAAATTTTGCGATGAAGGTTTGCAAATTTATTGAATTCTTTTTTTATATTTCATGTTTCTTTATATTTTAATGCGGTGATGTTTTACAGTACAACTGCCTGGTGTTTTACAATTTTCTGGACGAAGTTATTTAAAAACTCAAGTAGGAAGCAACGCTATAAAAAGTAAACGCAGCAAAGATACATTAAAAATTCAATCACAAATTGTAAATGAAAATATTTATTTAAATTTTTCAACTATTCAGCAAGATGGTTTGCTGGTTTGGTGTTTTCAGGTTTTTATTATTCAATTCATTTGTTACATTCTACTGAAATAAAAAAAAATACTATTTTAATTTCATTGCAGGAAAAGAAGTACACCGGAGTTGGTTTAGAAGCAGGATATTTGAAATTTGTCACCTCTTCCCTGGGTTCAGTTAAAACACATACCATAGTATCCGATGGTGTATGGCATTATTTGAATTTGACTTGGGCAAACGGCGATGTGCATTTACACTTAGACCAACATTTTTTATTTAATCAAACTTCTTCATTCGAGGAAAGCTGTGGAGCAGGCGATGTTTACATAGGTATGGCAAACATATCTAATAACACAAAAAATCTTATAACATTGGTTGAAGCAATTTTATGAAATATTCAGGGGGATTTCCTAGCAATGTGACAACTGAAACGTTAACTCAAGGTGTTTTTCTTGAGAGTTTTTCTGGTTGCCTACAACAGTTTTCAATAGGTAAAGAAAATGTGATTGATTTGGCAAAAACTGAAGTTGAAAACGTAGAGTCATGCCAATGGACATAAAATTTATTTGATATCTATTTGTAAGTATGTTATAATGAGAGATCTAATAATGCCATTTTTTATTTTCTATTCAAATTCATTGAAATTATACAAATAAATTCAAATAGTGTAGAACAAAAATTAAACAATTCGATTAATATTAATTCAAATTTGATGTTTATTACCAAGGGCTCATCAAATGACAGACTTCAATTGCAAATTTTGTTCAAAGTCAAAGTTTTAATTCCAATGCGCATATTGTTTTATTTTTTGTTGTTAAGGATCCTAAAATATTTTTTTTTTCAAATATTCTAGACTTTTTGATATTTTAGAATTTTGAAAGAATTTTCTTATAAATTCTTTCAAAGTAGGGTCAGACAACTGAGTTATTTAATGTATTATTAAAAGTCATTCTGTAATCTAAAAAAATGAGCAACATGCGGACTTTGAAGCATTATGATAATTCAATGCCAAAATGTCAAAGCAAGTAGGTTTTGTAAATTTTACAAATATTTAATGTTAATACTGCCATAGTTATAGAACCATTTACAAATAAAACATTTGTTACCATATAAAAAATGGGTATTATTCTTATGGTTAAGTTACAAAATAATATTTATGATATGTTAACCTTTTAATGAGTAATAGCTAAAACATCACTTTCCATTTCAAGGCTCAACTGTGTTTGAAGATTTGATAATTTATTTTTTAGAACAGCAACACCCATTGTCACAATATTTTCTGGCTTCAATGCTCCAGATGATTCCACATTGAAGAAAAATTTATTGGGTTTGAGTTCCCAATTGTATTCAGCTTCGTCTGCAATATTATCATGAGATAATTTTTTTTATATGAAATCAATATGAGAAACTCAAGAATTAAGATTTAAATATATACTCAAATAGATAAACATATTATTAAAATATGTGCTATAAAGGCATAGAGTTGATTTCACATTTTTTAACTCACATTCTTGACTGTCTTGTAACTCTGAATGTTCACTTTTTGGCCATTCATCAGGTTTTGGAAAAAGAGTGTGACGCATACTATTATCTGGATCATATTCAAAACATACTCCAGCTGTGGGATTCCATTTTGCATGTTCCTTACCGAAACCTTTCTTTGCATATGCTCGTAGTTTTAGTTCTTGTCCTATCCATATAATTTATTATTATCAATTAATAATAAGCATATTCAAGCTCAAAGGTAATTATTTAATAAACACACACTTTGTTATACATTTTAAGCTTTCTCACAATGCATTTTTAAACTTCACATACAACATTTAACATGTGAGCAGGTGTTTTTGTTTTAATTTTCTATTAAAATCAATTGACTGATATTATCTATAGTGGGGTGGCAAATCAAGACAAATTTAGATCTTTACCAATAGTAGGAAATTAACTTATGACGAATAATTTAGCAATCATAATGTAAAGATTTTAATAAAACAATTTACATAGCAAAGTAAACAAATATTAACCTTTACGAAGTTTAATTATTAAAATTTCATCAGTTTCTCCATATTCACTTTGATCTTCATCACGATGTCTAGATGTAACAGGCATAACCCTGGCATCACTAGATTTTAAGTCAGCTGTGGTTACATGCCTTGTTTGATCGTCTGTACATTTTACATCAAGAGTAAATTCCACACTGCATTCTGGACAAAAGTCCATACATGTACAATCCTGTATAAAGTTATAAGTAGTATTTGATTTATTTGTTATTCGTAACACAATTACAGGTAAACCACGCTACCACACATAACACGGCACTTCTCTAACATGGCTTAAGAATTGAAACCCCCTCATAACACAGTATTTTTAAAGCACGGATTAGCTCTAACAAGGTTTGTTTAATCTTTATTTAATCTAAAAGTAGTAAAATCGCCATACAATAACTCAATAAATGTAATGAAACTAATGCAAAACATAACTAATTTCACATTTATTATTCGAGCGCGTACGTTCTATTGAAAAAAAATTGTAGACTTATGCAAACAATTAGTTAATTAGTCTTAAACAATAATTCTTTAAATAAAATGAGCATAAAATTTTAATGAAGATAACTTTGCATGTGGTGAATATATAAATATCTTTTCGCTAAAATCAAGAAATTGCAAAAATATACTTTTTTTGTAAAAAATAATGCACAGATATAGAGGTAGTACAGAAAACAGCTCAGAGGATGAGGATCTTGCAAAAAAAAATGATCGTGTTGGATAGGGCTTACTTATCAATTATGGCTAAATCATATTATTCATGTAGTGTATATTACTTCTTTAAAGAAATTAATATATATAACAATGTTTATTAAAAAAACATGATATGTAGCATGTTTTTTGAATTCTTGGAATGTAACGCTCCTTTTTGTGCTAGTTCTTTGTGCCGTATAACACGAATTCGCATAACACTCTAGTTTTTTGGAACGTATTCACCGTGTTATATGGGGGTTTCCTGCATTCAATAAATACAATTACTTTAAAGATACAGAAAATCAAAATATGATCCTGTTTAATCATTGTAAAAAAATTTGAGAATGCTTCTTGAAAAACTATTATGTCTGATATAATAATATAGTAGTTATAGTACTATATACTGGATAAATAAAACATTGCCACATACCCGTAGGTAAAATTGGACTATTCATTCTTATAACTGAAACTTACTCTAGTATATTGTATTCTATCCACAACATCATCTGACACTAGAGGTATCAATCCAATACGATGGGCTAAAAATTCATCACTCAAAACAGTTGAATTAGCCTCTAATTGAATCCAATCTATCGCTAATGTCGGAGTTTCTGCCAGAAACACTCTGCGTAAGCTATTTGCTACACTATAAAGAACAAATACATTTTTTTATCAAAATATGAAAACCGGTATAACCCTAATAATAGTTCTTATCACTGTTTATTTACCTTAACTCTGTATCTTCAATAACAAATTTAACATTTTCGTCTGTTAAATCAGTAATTTGAACTGACGGCTGATTTGCGTACGGCATATTAGAATATTAAAATTAAGTACTTTTAAACTATTTATTCCTAATGACAACAATGTTGACATAAGTAAGGCTAGAAGCGTTGCCAACTCCATATTGAAGAAAAACAAGAAAATTGCTGAAGCAAGCCAACCTGCGTTGAACGACTTCATATGCTTTCTCATTATTTGAGGCAATGTGATGTGATGTTTATTTGTTTATTTATTAGGGTTATGTTTTCTTAAAAAAAAAAAATGATGAAAGTACCCCGCAGATTAGTGTTATGAAGGAATGAGTTATTGAATTTTCCAAAAATTGCAAAAAGCTCGTATATTTTTCAAAAGAGCATCATAAGGTTACAAAAATAGAATAATGATAACAAAGTTTGTCAAATTAGTGGTTCATATATAAGTTTAGCAAAAGTAAGCCAAATAGCTGATTTTAACGTAAAGCAAAATCAATAAATAAAAATTCTCATGGTTAATATTTTAATTAAACAAAAGCGTCCTTTAATGACAAAAATATAGGAATATATTATATTCTATTGTTGACTAGGTATACACCTATCAATCTATTCGTCATAAAAGGATTTGGTGTTTTTTTCAACTATCTCTCAGTAGATTAATATAATAAGTCAATATGTTAGGTCCAAATAAAAGGTCCAGTGAATTAGCTAACAGTAAGGCCATTTCAGAAAGGTCAGAGCTTGTCAGTAGACAACCTATTTCCATTTTCAGTGAAATAAGAAATGCAAAGTTGAAGCGGAAAAAGAGAAGTTGAATCAACTTTTAGAGACACTAAGTAAGGAATTATCTGAGGGCTTTAAGATAGGAGCTGCTATAGGTGAAGGGGATTGTTTCTTTGATTCCATAGCTCAAGGATTGAACGAGCTTAAAGATAAAGGTGTGATTGCAGGCAGTGAAGGATTTAATGTAAAATCTTTGCGAAAAACTTGTAAGCAATATGCACAACAAGTTAATAAATTGAAAAGAGGTTCATGGTTGGACTGTGCTTTAAAAGGAGAAGGTGAAAAACTTTGTGATTATATTTCTTGTATTCAATTTACTGCAGAAAATATTAAAAATGCAAGCTCTTGTTCAGAAAGAAAAATTCTTAAGTTGGAAAACACTATATGGGAAAGACCGGAAATTGAAGGAAAAATGATATGTGAAACATATGGCATAACAGTTAGGATTATACAATTGAGAGATAAAGAGATAGATGGATTACATATTACTAAAGGTAAAGTAGGTACAGGCGATAATATTATTCATATTGGGAATTACAGGAAATCATTTTGTACCACTTCTTAGTAATATTGGAAAAGATATAAAGAGAAGCAAAAAAGTTTCTATAAAGAAAGCTTACGGTAATGTGTTACGTTCAAATTCAAACAACATATCTCAATCTCACATTTCTACACCATTACAAGATATTGAGAACTCTTTGTATGAACAAGGTAGTCAATCAAGGAGTCCTGCTAAGGAAAATACTGAAATGAGTAGAAAGCGACGGCATTCTGTTACAGACAAAGATCATGAAATATCGAAGAGGCAGTGCAAAGATGAAGACCCAAAATTTCCTAGTAATTTACAAGATGAACCTGGACAGGATGAACTACATAATGCTTGTCAGATTAGGCAACACGTTCCTCATCATTTGATTGAACTCATTTACCAATTAGACTTGTCAGTGCTGTGCTCACTTAGAAAGTCTTTATTTGAACATAAATATCCTTTTTTGTCATTAGCATTTGAAGATTCTCAAATTGATAAATTCAATGATATTGCCCTTCGCTATGAAAAAAAGTGTATTCTTATACGAATTGAAAATGTAGACAAATATTATACAGATAATGATATTAATTTTGCTAAGCTATTTTCTAAAGGAAAACAAAGGTTCTCTATTAATAGCTACTTTGATAGTTTTGTTAAACATCTGACCTCTAAGGAAGATATCTTATTAGATAATATGGACTATCTTGTTATCTTTACCAATACAGGCTTGGATCTTACAGAAGAAAAAGAATTAAAGAAAGAGCGATCTAGAGATTTTTATCCTTTTAAATTTGAAGAATATGATTTTTAAAAGACTTTTTATTTACAAATGATAATATTCAAGGGCGTGGTTTTTATCAATTTTCGCAAGACAAAACAACCAGAAAAGAACTTTTAAAGCGAATAGAACTTTCATCTTCTGCACTAAAAGCAATGAAAGAAGGAGCATTTTCTCAGGAAAAACTAAAGGAGATTTTTTTAGATAGATTAATATTTGCAGTAAATCAGCCCAATAGAGAGGAATTGAACAGCATTATTAAAAGTGAAATAGAAAAAAATTGTAAAGTTCAGAATGATTGTATAGCATTACAGGAAGAAATATGTGATCTCGCAGCTTCAGAAAAATATAAAAAACTTGGGCCTAGTATTATATATGAGTTCAATTTGTTGATACTCTGTTTTCCATAAACTCTAGAAGCCATGATATATATAATTACATTGTTATTCATTTGAAAATAAAGTTACTTACATAAAGGCTTATAATACAAAGAGTAATATTGGTTATAGTCAATTATTTCCTACTAGACAAAGGAAAAAATAATACATCTTCTATTAATAAGCATTTTGCTCTTTTTATTGAAGAATTAGAAATATATCAGGATATGCAATATTTTATAATCTACACTAATGCAGATTTAGACCTTACAAAAGAAAAGAAATTAAAAAAAGGACAATCTAAAGGTTTATATCCTTTGAAATTTGATAGGATAAATATTCGAAAGAAAAGATACAAAGCTTTAAGAGATTGTTTGTGTATAGATGAGAATAGTCTTTATCGATTTGCTCTGGAGACAACAACCAGAGAAAAACTATTAAATCTATTGAAGCTTCCGCCCTCTTTGCAAAAAAAGAAAAAAAATAAAGAACTTTCTACTGAGAGCGAAAGAGAAATAAAAGAGAAATTTTTAGATAGGCTAATGTTTGTGGTTAACCAAACCAATAATGAAGAGTGGAATGAGATTATTAGAAATGAGATAGATAAGTCTAATGTTCCATATAATTATGAAGAATTACATGAAATAGCATTACGTTGGTTAGAAACTCATGAATTTGGCCCTATAATAAATACAACAATAGAAAAGCTTTTGAGAGATATAAAAAATAATAGGTCTAGTTATCAGAAAATACAGAAAAATATTGATGAAGAATTCAAATTTGCTAGAAGTGCAGTTGGTAGAGAAGGAATACCTGCGTTTTATCAGCTTTTAGATTTCCTAACTAAACGGGAAGGAAAAAAATATCTGGAAGTTCTGAAAAGAAAAGGAATAAATCTAGCTACTGTTACAAGCATTTTAAGTGGAATAAGAGCTAATGCTTCAAAAGTTTTTAAAGAATTGTTTGATCTATGGTTTGATAAGCAAGAAAATAAAACCCAATATTTAAAAACTCTAGAAAAAGAAGGAATAAATCTAACTAATATGTCCAGTATTTTAAATAAGGCAAGAGCTAATGCAGCAAAAGCTTTTAAAGAATTGTATGATCTCTGGTTTGATGAGCAAGGAAATAAAACTCAGTGTTTAAAAGCTCTTGAAAAAGAAGGGATAGGTCTAGCTAATGTATCCGGTATTTTAAGTGGAACAGGAGCTAATGCTGCTAAAGCTTTTAAAGAATTATGTAATCTGTGGGTTGATGAAAATGGAAATAAAACCCAGTCTTTAAAAGCTCTAAAAAAAGAAGGAATAGATCTAGCTAATGTTTCGAGTATTTTAGGTGGAGCGGGAGCTAATGCTGCAAAAGCTTTTAAAGAATTATATGAATTATGGTTTGATGAAAAAGGAAATAAAACCCAATATTTAAAAACACTAGAGAAAGAAGAGATAAATTTAGCAAAGATTACAAGTATTTTAGGTGGTGCAGCAGCTAATGCTGCAAAAGCATTTAAAGAATTGTATGATCTATGGTTTGATTTGCAAGGAAATAAAACCCGATATTTAAAAACTCTAGAAAAAGAAGAGACGAATCTAGCTAATGTTTCGAGTATTTTAGGCGGAGCAGGAGCTAATGCTGCAAAAGCTTTTAAAGAATTATATCATCTGTGGTTTGATGAAAATGGTAATAAAACTCAATATTTAAAGGCGCTACAGAAGGAAGGAATAAATCTAAATAATGTGTCCAGTGTTTTAAATAAAGCAAGAGCTCATGCTGCAAAAGCTTTTAAAGAATTGTATGGTCTATGGTTTGATGAGAAAGGAAATAAAACTCAATGTTTCAAAGCTCTTAAAAAAGAAGGGATAGATCTAGCTCATATGTCTGGTATTTTAAGTGGAACAGGAGCTAATGCTGCAAAAGCTTTTAAAGAATTGTGTAATCTGTGGTTTGATGAAAATGGCAATAAAACTCAATATTTAGAAACTTAAAAAAAAGAAGGAATAGATCTAGCTAATATTTCAAATATTCTACATGGAACAAGGGCTAGTGCAGCTATAGCCTTTAAAGACTTATATAATATATGGTTTGACGAAAAAGGAAATAAAGCTCAATATTTAAAAACTCTGAAAAGAGAAGGGATAGATTTAGCTAGTATTTCCAGTGCTTTAGGTGGAGCTAGAGCTAATGCTGCAAAAGCTTTTAAAGAGTTGTATGATCTGTGGTTTGATGAAAACGGTAATAAGGCTCAATGTTTAAAAACTTTAAAAAAAGAAGGAATAGATCTAGCTAGTATGTGCAGTATTCTAAGTGGAGCAGGAGCTAATACTGCAAAAGCTTTTAAAGAACTATATGATGCTTTTTTTGATGAGCTAGGAAATAAAACACAGCATTTAAAACATTTTATTGAGAAACAAGCTGGAGAAGAAAGTTTTACGCTATGCAACTTATCTAGTATATTAGGTAGGGCAGGAGCTAAAGCTAAGGATGCTTTTGAAAGGTTACATTCTATTTGTTTTAATGAAAAAGGAAAAAAAACTAAACTTTTAGATGATTTCTATAAGGCAGGTTTTAAATCAAGCAACTTGTCCTGCATGTTGTGTGGAGCAGGAGTTCGTGCTGCCTCTATTTTAGAGAGATTACATAGTATATGTTTTGATGATGAAGGAAAAAGAACAAAACTCCTAAATGATTTCTATAAAATAGGTTTTACACCATACGATTTATGCAATATCCTGAGTAGAGCAGAGGGTAGTATAGAAAAATTTCATGATTTTTGTTGTGTAGGAGAAACAAGAAAGTACTTAAATGATTTTTTGGATGGCAAACAAAATTTTACCCTACGTAATTTATGTAATATATTGCATGGAGCTGGAGCTAATATCTGTCCTGCTTTGAAAGATTTTCATGATATTTGTTTTGATAATGCAGGAAACAAAGCACGGCTTTTGAATGATTTCGGTGAGGTAAATTTTACACCCAATGATTTATCAGACATTTTATCCATGGCAGGAAGTAATGCCGCTTTTATTTTAAGAAATTTTCATGAATACTGTTTTAATAAAGAGAATTATTTACATCACTTTTTAGCTGAAGGACTAATTTTTATGCCAAAAAATCTATCTAAAATATTATATGGAGTAGGACTTAATATTTGTCGTACCTTTGAAAAATTGCATGATCTTTGTTTTGATAATGCAGGAAAAAAACTGAATATCTAAACAATCTTACAAAGGATAGCTCACTGGAATTGGATGAGATAATTAATATGTTATATAAAAAAGTTAGAAAAGGTCCTTCTACTTTCTTAGTTGGACAGATTGTTAATGAAGAAAGCAAAGCAGCCAATGGAGGGTCTAAACGAAGTACTCATTCATGTGAATAATACAAGAACAAAATTTAGATTTACGAGTCTACAATACAGTGATCCTAAGGCTAAGAGAAAAACTAGGAATGGTACCATCAATTGGAGTATGAACAGACAAGATGATAAAATTTTAGAAACAGCAGCATTTTGGGACAAACAGCTTACGTTCAATCTTAATCTATACAGACTACAAAAAACTGAGTGAATTATCAAATTAGATAGCTGAAATAAATGGTATTTTTGCTGTTCATTTAGTAACAAGTAATTATGTTATTGCAATTTATAGAACTGATGATAATTATACTAATGCATTTGTTTCTGAAGTGCTGATAAGCTTATGAAGTTGTAGGAAAAGTAGTAAATTTTGCTGGCGGTAGAGGAAAAAGGCTTTTCTATTGATCATTTTGATGTTGATAAAGCTATTGACCTACTGCTTGATGATGACAAACGTAAACTTCTAGCAGACCAATGTAAAGTGTTTGGTCTTTATTAAGTAATCTTAATGGTCCAGAGTTATCTAGAGTACAGTTATATGACTTTGAATCTAAAATTAATGTGGTAGGTAGTGTACTGTTGCTTATTAATTCTGGAATGAATCAATTAAAGTAACAAAAATTCCATGAATAGAAGTCATGATAAAATAGAAGTTAGCATGTCAGCAAGAGAATCTTGGTAATCTCAAAAACAGCAAGAATGTAGAAGAAGTAATTCCTTTCATAGGTTCAACCATAAAGTTGAAGTAGCAGAGTAAACATGTTAGACTAAACAATCTCTATTAAAATTGTTGGTTAAAGGAGCTATAAATTGAATACTTGCTGTAGTTTCTCTTGCTAGTGCTTGTCGATCAAAAAGTCAGTTACTAAACTTGCCTTTTTCATGACTCATTAGGATGCCTTCTTTTCAACAAAGAGGACGTAGGCATTTCGTTAGGATGCCTTTTCTTCATCAAGTTAGGAATGGTTCCACCAACGGAGCATGAAAACAGACATGATGATAAAATTCTAGAAACAGCAGCAGGTAGCTCTTACAGCTCAAGAGATTTATTTTGGAAACGTATACAGTCGATATGCAGTAACAAAGAGCAACAATTTTTCTTAAATCTCTTATATAGAAGCCCTACCAATAGCTATATCACTACGAAATCTTTTAGATCCTTTTCGTTGCATCTACATACTTAAGCCTACATACTTAATGAATTTTAGGTCATTATTAAATCATTATAAAAAAGGCAATAAGTTTTTTTATTAGTAATTTTGTCATAATTAGTTCATAAACGTTAGAAGAGTATAGAAAACAGTAAAAAAATGTTATTAATTTTGAAAATTATAAGTTGTTGAAATGGGAGTTTTCAAACAATTAGCATGTGACCGTGTTACTGTGTCCTCGAATGCAACCCTTCTAGTAATCTGAAAGAAACAAGATTATTAATATAGAATGATACCACAATGACTTATACCTACCAAGATTAAGTTAAGACTGTTTGAAAAAAAGACCATTTTCTTACCACTTTTTTGAGGCATAAAATAAGATATGAATGTATACTCAACAAGATTTTGCAAACATAATAATTAATGATGAGCAAAAAATTATAAACAAATCATTTAACTTTCCCAGGTTTCCAGCAAAGAAGTGCTGAAAACCTACTGAAGATGATTCTCCACTATTTGAACAAATAAACAATATTCAATACGTTTATCGAGAAATTTTACTAAATTTCCTCCTAATGCAGCACAAATTAATTATGCCCAACCTTTATGTGTTTACTTTTGTATCATTTATTATAATTATATCAACACCTTCATTCACTAGAATTTTGACTATTTAGCTCTAAATGTTTACCATCTGCTGCAGAATGTAGCGTTGTTAACTCACCTAGGAACTTGTGGATTAGTGCTTAATAGATTTTTTATGAATGTTTCACTGAAAACTTCACGATGTCTACATGATGCTATTTTCAGACTCAACCTGCAACATCCCGTAATTAAACATTCGCAGAATAATAGATATCAATAAAAATAAAAATTGATTATTTCAAATAGATTTTTATAAATAATGTAAATTTTTATGTGCTTATTATGTTTTGAGACGAGCTTATTCTATGAACTACTGATGTGTATGATTACAACACATTATAGTTTCATTGGTTGCGTTTTTTTATATCCACGTTTATTTTATTATAAATAATTAAAAATTACCTATAATATATATTGTTAGAATCTTCTTTTATCTATGGTTTACAATAGTTAAAATCATATATGTATAATCCAAACATAATCGTGTGAAGAAGCGATTATAATTAATAATAAAACAAAACGTCTAATTTTAATAATTAAGAAAATGATTCGATTTTTAATTTTAGCTAGAATTCTAAAGTTCACTTTTATGCTTGAAATAAATAACTTTGACTTTGCAGTTCAAATAATTCTTAGAATACTTACGCTTACTTTATAAAGTTTTGATTGACAAAAAAAATACTCCGCTTGCTTAATTTTTTATGTAAACATATACCAACGTCGTCATCCAATTCATAATGAAAGTTACAGTATTGAAATAAAGCTGTTTGAAAACATTTAAAATTCCTCTAATATTTCATTATGGTACGGAAAGTTCCAGCAATTTGCCTTAATGCATGATGCCAAGCGCCACCAGTTCATTTTTTTTAACTTCCCCTAGGGTAAGTTATTGTAATGGGCCGAAAATCGTAATTGAAAATTTTTACATTTCTCGACGTTTTGAAGGTTTCTGAACGTTTTGGCATACTTCAGAAAAAATGGATGTGTGTGTGTGTGTGTATGTGTGTATGTGTGTATGTATGTATGGATACAAATTTCCAGTCACGTTTTAGGGCGCACGGATCAACCGATTTGAATGGTTCAAAAAAACATTCGATTCCTATTGATAGGGAAAAGAGCTGATTAGTTTTTTGGTAAAGGCAGGTCCAGCCGTTTCGGAGATACGGAGCAAAGAGTGCAGAAAATAAAAATCGAATTTTTGAGAGAACGGAGTATCCGATTTGAATGAGCTAAAAAACATTCAATAAGTAATGATTGGGAGAAGTGTTTATTAGTTTTTGGCAAAGGCAGGCCCAGTCATTTCGAAGATACGGAGCTAAATATGTAAAAAATAGCAGTTTTTGAGAGAACTAAGCGTCCGATTTAAATGATTCAAAGAACTTTCTCCTTGTCTTAACAAAAAAATTGATTTTGATTTTTTTTTTTTTCTTTTTTGTATATCGAAAATATTTTAGATTTTATTTTTAATTCTGACTATAGTTCTAATATACTTTACAAATAATTTCAACTCTGCAATTCAGTTTATATAATTCTTATCAATATTAGACAATGTTACAATATTTATAATAATCTATTTGAAAACATTCAGTATTCCTCGAACATTTTGTTACGGTACGGGAAGTTCCAGCAATTTGCCTTAAGGCACGATGCCACCCACCCCACTAGTTTTTTAATTTTGATTCTTTTTTTAAGTCGACTTCTTGAAAATATTAAAATTTTTTACAAAAAAGTTTTTGAAGTTTGGAAATTTTGAATTTTTTTATTCATTATTTCTTTCTACTTCACACCATCAATACAAGCCAAATGTTATGATATATATCACATTTTATTATCGAGACTAGGATATATATCAACTTATTTCCTTATCTATAATAATATCAAACTATTCGAAGAAAACTAATAATGTCGAAAATAACGTTTTCATTTAAATAAAACGTCTTTGTTTGTACTGCACATAAAGTTTTTCTGGCTAAATGAAGCATGAAATGAAATGCATAAAATAAGCTTCAAACAGAAATCAAACAATTTTTCAAGAAAAACGGGAAAATATTTTTAAAAAAGTGAAACACTGTATACTTAGCGTTTACTTCACATGGTACTGTCAAAACCAATGTTGATTAAACTGTCATTTCAAAACCCGCCAATTTTTTTTAGTGAAATTATTTATTAGATGTCGTATGAAGTTAAGAGTGATTAGCCTGCGATTAGTTTATTTATTGTATTTTATAGTGACATTAATAGTTATAAATGGAAGAAACATTTGATATTGATTCTTTTAATGTAGAAGCAGGTCCTTCTACTACAAAACCTAAAGAGCCTGTTAAAAACAATCTTCCTTGGTAAACAGTCTTTGCTGTATTCATTTCGATTTAATTTACAATTTGACTTATTTAATATAAAACATATTCGAATAGTTGTTTTGAAAAATGAAAATTTTTAATCGTTAATCAAGCAGATATAATTAAGCGGTAAAATAAATGGTGTTCTTCGAAGGGTTATTTTAGAGAACTAACCACTCCAATTAATTGTAGCACAAAATTTTATTATAGCTATTCTTTGTCTGCTCGAGAATTTGTGTACTGAATATCATAATATTTTTTACATATTTTTGTAATATTATTAGACAAATTTTTGAATGAAATTCGTAGATTCTCGATTATTAACTTATATTTTCCAAGATAAAGCCTTATCTCCACTGACCCGCATTTCCCAAGTAAACGAAAATAATGACAGGTATAAATATGCAGACTTTTTGAGTATTAAATCAGAAATTTCATCGACATCATAGACTAGCCTCATTTTATTTATGTATGTTTTTTAAGTAACAGAAGTCTCAAAAAGCTTTTTAAAAAGTGTGTGCTAGAGTCGATGGAATGCTAACTCAACTAAAACAATCCTTCAAAAGACACCATTTGTTTTCCCATCTCTGTATTAAAAATTATTTCCCTTAAATAATTCCATTATTTTTAGGGTTGAAAAGTATAGACCCATGAAATTTGAAGACATTGTAGGAAATGAAGATACTGTAAGGAGATTGTCTATTTTCTCAGAAAGTGGCAATGTTCCTAATATTATAATAGCGGTAAAATATGAAATAAGTAATGAATTGAATAATAATTAATTTTATTATTTCAATCTCAAAATATTTTAGGGACCCCCTGGTGTAGGCAAGACAACTACAATATTATGTCTTGCTCGTATTCTATTAGGAGATGCATTCAAAGATGCGGTATTAGAATTGAATGCATCAAATGATCGTGGAATTGATGTTGTACGGAATAAAATTAAAATGTTTGCTATGAAAAAAGTAACACTGCCTAAGGGAAAACATAAATTTGTGATATTGGATGAGGCTGACAGGTAACACATTGCTAACATTCAAGAATCTTTTTTAGCAACATAAGTTATATGTTTGCCTAATCACTTGATAGTATTTGTAAATTTTGTTGTTTGTTATTATTTTGTTGATTATTATTCATTATTTTTATTGCTTTTTAATTGTTCTTATAATTGCTATTATAATATTTTTAGCATGACTGAAGGCGCTCAACAAGCCATGCGTAGGACTATGGAGTTATATGCAAATACTACTAGGTTTGCTTTAGCTTGTAATACAAGTGATAAACTCATAGAAGCTATACAATCCCGTTGTGCAATGTTAAGATATACACGTTTAACAGATGCTGAAGTTATGGCAAAAGTGTTGCAGATTTGCAGATTGGAGCAGGTAATATAAAGTTAAATAAATACTGATCAATAATGGTGATCATATTATCATACTATCTATTATTACATTGATATTTAATTCATTTGTTTTTTCAAATGTTTCTAAAAATTATATTTAAGATTTTTTTCAACTTCCTATAGGGCAAGTCATCAAAGTTTCAAAAATAACTAAAATCATTTTTAATCTTTGCGATTTAATTTATTATTTTGGCCTATCTTAAAAATATATGTATGTATTCTATGGAATGTTTGAAATAATTCAAAAGTACTTATATTTTTTTATTTTTTTTTATAATTTTATTTTATTTTTCAGTTTACCTTAAATTTAATAACTATTCATAATAAGTCAAAAATTAATTTTCCCTGTACTTACACATGCTTGAATAAATTATTGGTTACTTATAATTACTACTAACAATTACAAGTTTTAAATTCCTTCACTTATAACAACTCTTCATTTATATAATTATCATTTACACAAGACAAAAAATGCATAATGCACTTGACTTTAATTAATACTAGAATCATACAGAGTTTGGAATTATATTATCTGTAAACTTTTAATATATGTATTATGATTTGTGTCTTAAAGCAATTTGCTAAATTGGGAAATTAACAGTCTATTACAGTATAGAAAGTCAATCAAGTATAAAAACTTAATTTGTCACAGATATCAATTACTGCCAAAATGGTCAATGAAACTAGTTGGTATTGGTATTTTGCCTTGAGGCAAGTTACATGAACTTCCCGATGTGTGTAAATAATTGAGTTAATCAATATAAAATAAATTAATTTATGAGTGATTAAAAGTATTCTGAGTGGTTTTATTACACATAATTGAAAACGAACGAACACGTTAACTCGGAGTATTTTCTAAAAGCAAATTTTCGAGAATCAATTATTTTTATAATTGAACCAGTTTTCATACGACTTTAATGGTTTAGTATGTTCATTAAGAACAAGCACTCTATCGCTATATCAAGTAAATCATCTAATTTTAATTTTAACAAACATAAAAAAAAAACTACTCATTTTCTCAAATTTTGAGGTATTTTTAAAATTAAACTACTTGTTGTAAGGCTGTAATATTTCAGTAAGTTCTATAAGACCATGATATGTATCGCCAAAAAAACTTTCATGAACATCTGCTTAATTTTGTTTTTCAACAGTTAATTACAAGAAAATGGCTCAGTAGATTTTCACCTTAAACTACTCATCATTCTCAACTAATGTAACTAATATCTTTCGAACAGTTTTTGATTTTTTTAAATCGATTCGGTAGTAGAAAACTTTGAAGAATTTTTAAAATTAAACGACTTGTCGTAAGGCCGTAATATTTTAGTATGATCATAAGACTATAGTATCTACCGCAAAAAAAAATCATGTAAATCGTCAAAAAAAATTTTTCAACACTTTATTACAAAAAAAGGGCCCAGCAAATTTGAAAAAAATTATACTTAAAATTTGGGTCAACAGTTGCTTTTGTGATGTGATGAGTCAATCCAAAAATTTGGAATAATAATTTTAGGACATATAAGCACGTGCCTGTGCAATACAGTTAATATAAATACAGAATATTTAAATTTGTTTGAGAAAATATAATTGGAAATCCAATGTTTAGATTTAATGAAAGCGAATATTTAATTTTTGAAATAAACAGTTAAAAATTTTATCTAAATATCTAAATCTGAATTTCGTTTGATTAAGTCAATTGGTACATTTTGGAAACTTCATGCAACTTGCCTTAAGGCTAAATGCCACTTTCAACTAGTTTATTTTTCAATTCCAAACCTTTATGAAGATTTTGAACAGCATTAAGTTTTTTTTTGAAAATTCTAAATTGTATAAATATTGTCTAAAAAGTAGTAATTATTGTATTGTATATGTATTGAATTATTGTATGAAACAAAATACAATAAGTATTTAATATAATAAATTAATATAATAAATTTTAAATAACATTTTGAATGAAATGTTGATTATTTAAAAATATTCTACAGCTATCATACACTGAAGATGGTTTAGAAGCAATAGTATTTACTGCACAGGGTGATATGAGACAAGCTTTAAACAATTTGCAGTCAACTGCTAACGGATTTGGAAAAATTACTGGTGAAAATGTATTTAAAGTATGTGATGAGCCCCATCCACTTCTGATCAAAGACATGCTCCAATTGTGCATTAGCGGAGATGTACATAAATCTTGCAAAGTGAGTATTGTTGTCCACACAGCCTTTTTAATACTTTATACAGTTTGTTTTATAATTTTTCATTATTTTATAGATCATACAAAAATTGTGGGATCTTGGTTATGCTGCTGAGGATATTGTGGGCAATATATTTCGTGTATGCAAAAAAATTGAAATGGATGAAGGCATGAAATTATCGTTTATTAAGGTATTGAACTATATAATTATCAAAGCCACTTTAATTGTATTGATTTTTTAAAATAACTTTTAAATTTACTGAATCTGTGTTTGTTATTGATAGTTTTTTTTTAATTTCTCAATTTGATTTCTTGATTCTTGTGATTTTGTTTCTAGATTCTTAATGCTCAAATAATTTAAATTTAATTATTTTTATTAATTATAATTGTTCTATTGAAAATTATGCAAAATTTGAATTAACAATGTTACTACTTTGCTATAATTGCAATTATGAATCTTTGCAAATATTTATGCAAATTGCCAAAGTAAGACATAAAAATATTCATTGTTTAATTAATCATTTCTGTAAATGTGTAGGAATCGTCTTCTGAATCTACAAATAAAAAAAACATCAAAGTTATTTTTTAGAACGTAACATATTTTTTGTTAAAATAGTAAATCAACTTGTTTCAGGAAATTGGAATAACACATCTGCGTATTATAAATGGAACCAACTCACTGTTGCAGTTGTCAGGATTGATAGCAAGACTTTGCAAGGCTGCCCTGTCTTAAACATAATGTGATATTATCTAAAAAAACAAAAGCCTTTGGTATTTTATTTTTTAAGTCTAATCTTATTTCAATTAGTAATTGAATAAATAATAATTTTTTATAAAGTTTATTTATTTTATTGGAAATTATTATTAACACCTAATTTATGTCTTCAAAAATATTTTTAATTGAGAAAACAATTTTCAGTATTTTTAAGATTTAATCTTTTTATTGCTGCATTTTTATACAATATGGTTAAGTTTACTATAGTATATATATATATATATATATAATATTTTAAGAAATTTTTATTCACCTAAATATCTTTTAATTTTAATAACACTCTACAGTTAATATATTTAAGATGGCAAGGAAGCAATGGTATTTACAGCATGAGATAAGCATTCAAGTATTTACAGCATGAGATGAGCAGGCACATATGAGATGAGCAACTTCGAGAACGTCATTAACTCAAGGTACAATCAAGAATACATAAAATTGTATTGTAATATTTTTTTAATTATAATATTTCGTCAAAATTGTCTAGATTGTTCTACAGACATGACTATGTTTATGAGACATTTCATTACATAACTGTTTTCATCATTTTCCTTTCGTTCAAATAAACGAAATTCTGTAATATACTAGTGTGTTCTATAAGACCATGATATCTATTGTTAAATTTTTTTAACAGGTGATTACAACTAATCAGCCAATTCCCAACCAATATCTTTCAAACGGTTTTTGATTTTTTTAAATCGATTCAGACTTGTAGGCTGAAACGTGAACGATTTTTTTTTCTATTAACAAAGAAACGGCTTTGCTGATCGTCGCGCAAAACTCACAAACACTAGTCCTTATCAAGTTACATCAAATGGTCTTTAAATTTTTGAAATCGGTCCATCCGTTTATGAAAAAATGTCGATGAAAGGTCAAAAATCGGCTCATATACACACATGCATACTTTTTTTTTCCAAATTTGGTTTCAATCGATTCAAAATGACTTGAAACGTCGAGAAAATATAAAATTAGACAATCAGATTTTGTGGTGAAAGCATTAACTTCACCTTCGGAAAGTTATATAAAAAATCTTCGAAGTTCTGATTGCCTACTTTCGTTATTGTTGTTTTTCAAGATTTATTATAGATATTTGTTGATATTTTGTTGTATTTTTATTATTTTTTTTTTTTATTTTTTGTTTTTTATTTTTTTAATACCTTGTTCGGGGATCCTGGATCTAGTTTCTGTGAACCCCCACGTTTCTATATGACATAATTTCACATTGCCCTTTGCATATTCAATGCGTCAGTCATGTAAATTACTACATAACATTATTATTTAACGTTTGTTATTTTGTTTTATTGGTTCATTTTGTAATGAAACAATGTCTTTAAAAATTGTGTGTTGTTTTTTCTCCTGGTTTGGTATCTATTTATATTTTTTGTTGTTATATCTTCGAGTAACCTGATCTTTTTTTTATAAGTTAATCTTATTGTTAAATACGTTAAATATATTATATAGTTCGCGCAAATAGAGCGAGCAATTGAAGTTCTGAGAATGACGAGATTACACTTGAATACTTAGGTTACTGATTCGTAAAATTATTGGTTTTGCGTCTCTCTTATTTCTATAATTTTATATATATTTCCTATAATATTTTAATTGGTTTAATTATCAATAATCAATTATAACTTATAGATTATTGATTTTACTACTAAAGTGGTAAACATGCAAAGTACGCGCTTAGTGTCATCACCGTGCTTGGTACGGATTCTTATTGTCGTGACATCTTCGCCCTTTCGTGCATAGTTTGGGGAACAGAAACGGAATCTTCAATCATTTACATAAAAGAAATAAGGTTGATTTATTCTCGTTCTCAATATTATAATAGATTAACTTGTCAATACTAGAATCAACAAATCTAGCTTATCGAAAGAACTTAGTTATTTATTTTTGCCCATGGCAATGATGCAATATAATTACATTTTATAGTGTGCTGCAACTAGTGAGAAAATTTAAGAGTGCATAGACAGATTTTATACATAATATTTAATATAAACAACAAATATATAACACTAAAAAACTGATAATATTAAACATCCAATAAAATAAATCACTGCCTAAAATGGTCTGTGGATAATTTTCCTGGCTTTATCATTTATATTACTTACAGACAGTCTAAAGATTTTCAGAAAGGTCTTTCAGAAGTAAATTCATTGATTATTTTGGTTATTCTAAATATTGAAGGGGGCGAAACAAATTTAGTTCTACTTAACTACTTAATTAACTAACTTTTAATAGTTTTATTAATTTGTAATTTAACATTTATCACGATGAATGAATATCTCTTACCCAGAGCATCTATGCGAGTAGCATATTGATTGAAAATTATCTTTCATCTCTTTTGATTATCAAGCAGGTTGATAAAATCAAATAGAATCTAGAATAAAAGCAATAATCAATTTGGTCCAACCAACATCAATATTTCAATACATTTTTTGATAACAGAGATTGAATGTATTTGAACTATAGAACGGTATCTGCACGCCTCCGAGGCGTACATGCAGACTTTTGCACTTTTTTTGTTATTAAACCAGAGTTTTATATTTTCTGAAATAACCTTTAATGATATCACAAGGTATACAATGACAAAAGATGGATAAAAAATTACTTGTTAAGCACACTACCATTCTGGGATTAAACATGTTTTAACAAATAAAATAATCTACCGAATCAATACTATTATTTTTGCAAAAATAAAAAAAAATAGTAATTTATGAATACTTTATTGTAATAATAAATATTTTATTGAAATAATTTTATTTGTTAAAGAGGCACCAGTTCCGGTAGCCAGACTGGGGCAGTCTGGTGTCAAGCAGTAGTGACATCGGTTTTCACTTGGACATGTAGATAGCAAATTGTTTCCAAGTGAAAATAGCCCTTGCTACTCAATGACATACCAATGAAAAATCATTACTATTATAGAAACTTTTCATACACTGATGCAGGATATATAGATGTTGGGGTCACTATCCATAAAACAGACGTAGTTAGTTAAGTTAAATCATCAGCTTAAATTGTGACCGTTGTTCATATTAAGAAGAAATGTTAGAAAATTATTGCACTTCTCAATAATCGCAGAGTTTTTTATTGAACAGAATTCTACTTATAAACCGATAAATTAATTTTGATTTATCGTTCTTGGTTTTCATTCCTGTTTATGTTTTGATGATTCATGATGCGAACATAGTTTCCATAGTGCACAAAGTGTGCCTCGAGTTCGACTTCGACGTCAGTGCAAGTTTGGTTGCGTCCAGGTACAACTGAATTTGGATTAAATATTTTTCCCGGTCTTATTTATGTATTTTATATATATAGTGTAAAACATGCAATAGATTTATTAAGTTCTACAAGTGTGATCGTGCGTATATCAAATCTTAATTTATAATTTAGTGCTAAAAATGTGAAATATGGATAATCGAGATATCAACAACTCACAAGGTCTGACTGAAAAAAAAATTCGGTACGTATTATGCACTTCTTCACTAATTTGAAATTTGTAATTTTTGTCAAAAGGTCAATAAAATTTGTTTTGTTAGCAAATATTCATGGCTATTGTACGTCTTCGCGAAATATAACATTTTAACTTTAATTACTATTAACTTACATTACCATGTAAATTGTCTGAATAAACATAATACGTAATTGTATTAGTTGGTTTTTGCGTTTTTCCTTATATTTTAAAATACTACATAATCAATTTTTATTCGATGTTAATAAAATATTATTCAAAATTAAATTTTTCACGTAGTATACATATAATTTCGTAGACAATGCTATTGCAATTTGCAATGCTGCTGATTCATACATCGAATTTTATTGTATTGTCGTTTTATAGTAGAAAAATTGCATTAAGAAATTTCAATTTTAAAATTCAATTTAACAAAATCTTGATTATGATAAAATGATTGACGTTTGATTTTGATTAATAAATCTAGATAGTTCTAGAATCTAGATAATATAAGTGTTTATTGTTACATAATCACAAAAACGAGATTCTTTCATATATGTACTTAAAATCAATATATAAATTTTACAAGCTATTAAAATAATATTATATTTAATTATAGTACCTCTACAGTCTATCATTAACGTTGTATAATAATTATTATTGTAATTATTAACTTAAATGGGAGTGCAACATTTACAATTATCACAATTCTCCTTAATCGCAATGTTGAATTAATTCGAAACCATAAACATTTCTGTGAAATAATCTCCATTTAATTTACGATTTATTCAATTTATTATCATTATTTTATCTAGTTACTATATATCACTTGACTATGCGAAGGATTTCTGATAAATTCGCGGGTTCAATTACATATGCTGAAATGTTTTCTTTTGCTGCAATAATCTTTAAAAAAAATGAGTTATAGATTATCAATTTTGTATTTAAATAGATTTTTTAAAATGTGTATTTTATCACAAATATTTATTTTTGCTAGTTTTCTAGTGTGTGTGTGTATGTGTGGATAAAACTTTTCGTCGACGTTTTAGGAAGTACTGCTCAACCGATTTCAATGATTCAAAAAGCAATTGATTCCTACTGATTATTAGTGCTGATTAGTTTTTGGGAAAGGTCGATCCAGCCGTTTCCGAGAGACGAAGCAAAGAGTGCAGAAAATGAAAACTCGCTTTTTGCGAGAACCGGGCATCCGATTGGAATGATTCAGAAAACTTCAGAATTGCTTGTGCTGACGAAACGATTGCTTTATTATTTTTTTTTATTTCAAAATTTAAACTACGGTGTATGGCATCTTGTTTTGAGGCAAATTGCTGGAACTTCCCGCAGCGTAACGAAATGTTCCAGGAATGTAATATTGTCCAATATTGATAAGGATTATATAAACTGAATTACAAAGTTAAAATTATTTATTTATTGTATATAAGTGAGTTTTAGAACTTTAGCCAGAATTAAAATTAAAATCTGAATTATTTTCGATATACAAAAAAAGGGAAAAAATAAATTTTGAAAAAAAAATT